AGTTTGTGAATGGAAAACTATCAAATGGAATGCAATAACAGATCTGCAGCCCATTTTATACAAACAACTGGTGATTTTTAAAAATCCCAGAGGCAATTACTTCATGGGTTTTATTAGAAATTGCAAACCACCTGGTAAAAAAAACAATCGGTGAATTAACTTGAGGCTGGGTCTGCAAAACACACACATGCACACTAGTACTAATAATAATCTTGACCTTTTTTTACCCAACCAAATCATTTCTTCATGTAAAAGATGTGATCTAGCCTCATTACACAACAATACAACCGAGACTGTAAAAAATTACACACACACACATGAGGGTACTTCAGAGTTCCTGAAAAAATATAATTGAAAGACAATATGAATCTTCCATGAACTTTTTGAAGTTCCCTTGTATTATATTCCACCTATGTTTCCATATAAATATACGTGCACACATATATACAGATATACAGACATATATACAGGTATACACACATAAATACAGATATGTGTGTGTATATGTATATAAAATCTTGAAATTTTTATCTAAGGAAACTTGTCCATTGACCTACACTACTGTTTAATTCTTCAGTAGTAAATTAAGACAATTTATGTGCTTTAAATCACTTCCTACAAATTTTAAAATGTCTTTTTTTTTTTTTTTTGTCTTTTTCATGACGGGTAAGGGGACCACAACCCTTGGCTTGGTGTCGTCTGCACCGCGCTCAGCCAGTGAGCGCACCGGGCAGTCCTATATAGGATCTGAACCCGCGGCGGGAGCGTCGCTGTGCTCCCAGCACCGCACTCTCCCAAGTGCGCCATGGGGCCGGCCCCTAAAATGTCTTTTAATAGCATGTAGATGTCTAAAATATTTGGAACAACCCACAGGACCATTCACAAATTCAAAAAATACGTAAAAGAGTTAAAATGCAAAGTATCTTCCTAGTAGTGGATATCAAACAGCCAGCCTACCTCCAAGTAATTCAAGTTAGTTCATCACATGCTGTTCTGTGCCTGGAGTACTGGGCATCCCCCACTGCACACTCGACATACCCAAGTTAAGCAGTGAAACATTTTTAGTGAATCTGATTTCACTAATGTGAGAATTATATCCTGAAAATAAAGGTGGAATGGTATCTCCGGGTAAATGAAAGCTTTCAAACCCATTGCTCTGTGAAATTTTGATGCTTAATAGCTGTTTGTTGATTTGGATTTCTAACCTTGGCAGATGACCCATTCACTGTCATCAATATTCAGTGCAAGAAGAATTCACCAGAAAACACTGACAAGGCTCTGGATTTGGAGCAACAGGATATGACCTAGACAAAATGTACTGTCCTCTGTCTCGTGCCAAAGAATAGGAATTCCTTCCCTGAAAGCGATTTGCTAATGATGTGCTTCGCAACAGATTGTCTTAGAGGGACAGTGTGGTGTAATGAAATAAACAAGGCTTCAGGGTTAGGCCATCATAGATTCAAATCCTGACACATCACCGGGCCTAAACCTTTTTGACCTTACCTGAAACATGGGGATTGTATTACCCTCTCCATGGTGTTGCTAGAGAGATTAAGTTTCTTCGTTCACGTATTGATTCATTATTATCTGAGTGCCTTTTATGTGCCTGGCAATATTCTAGACACTGGGGATACAGAAGAGAATAAGGAAGGCAATATCCCTGCACTTATACAAAGATACTTTTAAAATTTTGTGGAAAAATAGAATGGAAAAATAACATGAAGTTTTGACCTTACCTGAAACATGGGGATTGTATTACCCTCTCCATGGTGTTGCTAGAGATTAAGTTTCTTCGTTCACGTATTGATTCATTATTATCTGAGTGCCTTTTATGTGCCTGGCAATATTCAAGACACTGGGGATACAGAAGAGAATAAGGAAGGCAATATCCCCGCACTTATACAAAGATACTTTTAAAATTTTGTGGAAAAATAGAATGGAAAAATAACATGAAGATTTCTGTGAACTTGATGAAGTACCCTCCTAGGGCTTAAATTCTAGTTGGGGGGGAGGGAGCTGGAAGAGGAAACAGTCTAACAAATAAGCAAATGAACACATTTATAAATGTCAGCTGGTAATAAGTCCCAAGGAGAAAAATTAAGCAAGAAAGGAGGTTAGGAAAGACCCATTTACATTTCAGTAGACTTGAAGGAAGTGAAAAAAGGAAATTAGTTAAGTATCTGCGGGACGAATGAGATAAAAATGTTGAGCATCAAGTATATAGTAAGTTCTCAATACCCAAGAGCTATTACTGTCATACTTAGAACTTTAATGCAGGAACACTCTGACCTGGAGTCAGAATGGAAGGTTTGGATCCTGACGTCAGCCCTACAGTTACAGAAACTCTCTGGGCCTCAGATTCTGCATCTAATCATGGGAAAATAACGGTTCCCATCTCAGAGGAGGGTCACATGCATCAAAATTGAAGATGTACATTCAAATCTTAGCACATTGCCTTATACATAGTAAACTCAAAAATGTTAACAGACCAACCTCACCTGCTTCCCATCATCAGACCCAGCCTATTTACAACAGTCTAACCCTTCTTCTACATGACAATTCCTAGGATATTTGGAGATATCCCTTACATTTTCTCTCCTCCAGTCTGGACATCAGCACCATAAACACCACCACCATCATCACAGCCATCAGTTCAGTCCCTACTATATTTGGGTAATTTTATTTACATCAGTCATCTAATTACAATATCCCTTCAAAGTAGTAATTGTCTTTAGTTTACAGATGAAAAAAACTGAGCTCAATGAACATTTACGGGTCTGGATCATGGCTATAGAGCTGAAATGAGAAAGCGCTGTGATTTAAACCCAAGCCTTCCTGGTTCCAAAGCTCATCCCTTGTGGTCCATCTTCTTACTTCTGATCATTCCTCCTATTACAACATGTGACTTAGAGACACTTCATTATCATATACATTATCCTGTAGAATGAATTCATGGCTTCCTTATCTTTAAAATAATATTATCTGCCTGAGTGTTAAATAAAGATTTCATCAAATAATATAAAATGTTAGCACAGTGTCTGGCACATGATGAGAGCTTAATAGATGGTGGCTGGGATGATGACGATGATAACAATAACCCTCATTATCATTATCTGATGCAATACCTGAATCATCAAATTACAGGTCATCAACTCGCACCTGCTCTCTCCTTCGGAACAACACTTGGCAACAAGTAGGCTTTCATTAAGGACTGACTGCTATGGTTCTCACAGTTCTCTACCTTCTAAAATAGGACCTTCTATTGAGTCAATAATTTTTCTGTTTATACTGAAGTTAAAAACAAAATGTGACTAGTCAAAACAAGAAGAGTCAGGAAGTACCAAGTGATACCTACCAGAATAACCCTTGGAATTGCTCAAGGGCTGGTTCTGAAATCTCATGTGTCTATTGATGTGTATACCCACAGCCTCCAGGTGAACAGGATTTACCGAGTGTGGTTGAATAGCCTTTTTTGCCATTTGCTCTTCCAAAAATGGACTGCTCCAGATCTGCTGGGGTGCTCCTCTGGCTCTCTTATTAATGTCTTCTCTGAGAGTGCAGAACAATGGGTCCTCATCCCTTTCACCGGATGGTACTAGGGAGGAACCAGCTGTTCTGTAGTTTTCTTCTTCAGAAGAAACTGAGCTTACAGGAGACGTGGGTATTTTGTTCTCGTGAGTATAGGGTATTCTTTTAAATGCCACTGGACTCTGAGTAATTTCTGGAAATACTGTAAAAGGTAAACACATTAGTATGAAAGAATGCACTTCAATATCATCTACAAAATTAATAGCAGAAATCAGGTTATATGTGGATTTTTGTTTGTTTGTTTTTCTACCCTGAGCAAAGAGAAGTGACAAAGACAACAGCGACTGGAGCATCTGAGTGGGAGAAGAAGATGGAAGTTTATGGAAAGGGAGGTAAAAGATGGAAAATGCTTTTGTTGAGTTCAAGGTATGTTGTAGGCACTGTGGGAGGCCCTGGACATGTTTGTCATTTAGTCTTCACAAAAAACATACCTAGCAGTTAGTACTATTATCTCCATTTTACAAGTCAGAAAGCTAGCCTGAGAGTTATGGATTGAATTATGTCCCACCAAAGGGTATGTTGAAGTCCTAACCCCCAGTACCTGTGCCTGTGACCTCATTTGGAAATAGGATCTTTAAAGATGTAATCAAGTTAAGATGAAGTCACACTGCATGAGGATGAACTTTTTAATCCAATATGACTGGTGTCCTTATATAAAAAGAAAACTGAGACACACGAGAGAACACCATGTGAAGACATATATCAGAGGAAAGAAGCCACGTGGAGATGGAGGGAAGAATTGGAAAAATGCTGCCACAAGCCACAAAACACCTGGGGCTAACAGAAAATGAAAGAAACAAGGAAGGATCCTCCCCTAGAGGCTTCAGAGGGAGAACAGCCCTGCCACCACTTTGATTTCGGACTCCTAGCCTCCAAAACTGGGAGAATAAATTTCTGTTGTTTTAAAACACCCAGTTTGTGGTCATTTTTTACAGCAGCCCTAGGAAACCAATACAGGCTTAGAACAGGTAGCTTGTCCAAGGTCACACAAATATTAATTAGCAGTGTTGGAACTTGAATCCAGATTTCTCATCCCCATAACCTAATCATAACTGCTCAAGATACTCCCTCTTCATGCACTACAGAGGGTTAAAAACAAGCTCTGTTGTTTAAAATTGATCTAGAATATTGTAGAAAGCCCAAAAAAAACCTATGACTCCAACTTTGATTCTTATCCAGTAGTTGAGGTGGGTTCCTTTACCTAATTCACATCTGTTGAGAAACTGATAGCTACTCAACTCATACCACCCATATCTACATTACTAATTCCTCAGTAGAAAGCAAACATGAGAAATAGTCCCCAATAGTCAAAGATAGTAATGAGCAGAGCTGTTGCAATGCCAGGTTTCTATGTCACAGATGATGGTGTCCTGGAGGAGCTACAGAGAAGATATCTTAAAGAGATATCTAAGAAGCAAACAATCTTCTTAGCCAATTGGTAATGGGTTGGCTAAGGGGAATAGGAGATAGACCAAAAGAGGTAAGAATAATTCTCTAGATTGCACAACTGGATGTGTGGTACAGGAGTGTGTGTGTATGTGTGTACGTGAAAATTTAGAATTGGCACAATAATACATTGATCTTTCAGAAGAAGAGAGCAGAGGCAAGAAACAGAACAGGCCTGGGGTCATAGACAGGAGCTGAGAGCAGCCACTGCCCCTAGAAGCACGCAAGAAATACAGCATGTCCAGGGTCCTTGGTGGGAGCCAAGGGCTTCCCCTCCACCCAGTAGCAGGCAAGAAACAGAACATACCCAGGGTCCTAGGCAAGAGCCAAGGGCAGCATCCCCCACCCACTAGCAGGCATGGAGCACTCTGAAAACACCACTTCTACATGGGTGGCCCACAACAGCCTCCACCACAGCCATGGCTGTGCAAAAGTGGCTCTATGCCACAGCAGCAGCTACAGCCACCATGCGGGTGGACTGCCAGACACTCAACTGCAATGACACAAGAAGAGTCACCAGCAGAGACTGGAAAAAGAAGAGGACATCTCTCTCTTCAAAGCCCACTCCAGAGTAATAGAAAAAGAAACTGCCCTACTAGATGATCAGACATCAATGTAGAGATACTAGAAACACAAAAATTCCAGAAAATATGACACCACCAAAACAATACAGTAATTCTCAAATACCAGACCCTATAGAGCAAGAAACACTTGAAATGTCTGAAAAAGAATCCCAAGCAACATCTTAAGGAAACTCAAGGAGATACAAGAAGACTCAGTTAGACAACATAATGAAACAAGAGAAAAAATCCAGGATATGGAGGAGGAAATTTACAAAGAGATTAATACCTTTAAAAAGAATGTAGCAGAACTCACGGAACCGAAAGATTCACTCAATGAAATAAAAAACACAACGAAGACCTTAAGCAGCTGGCTAGAACAAGCTGAAGAAAGAATGTCTGATCTTGAAGATAGTCATTTTGAAATAACCTAGACAGACCAAAAAAAAAAGGAAAAAAGGAATTTTAGAAAAGGAGGAAAATCTAAGAGAGCTGGCAGACAACCTTAAGCACACAAACATTTGAATCATTGGTATTCTGGAAGGGAAGGAGAAAGGAAAAGGCATGGAAAACCTATTCAACAAAATAATAATGGAAAATTTCCCAGATAAATGGAGAGACATGGACATTCAGATCCAGGAGGCTCAAAGTACCCCAAACATATTCAACTCAAAAATATCCTCTCCAAGACACATTATAGTCACACTGGCGAAGCTCAAAGGCAAAGAGGGAATCTAAAACCAAGCAAGAAAAAAAGCATCAAGTCACCTATAAGGGAGCCCCTATCAGACTAACGACAGACTTCTCAACAGAAACTCTACAGGCCAGAAGAAATGGGATGATATATTCAAAATACAAAAAGAGGGGCCGGCCCGGTGGCGCACTGGATAAGTGCACCACTTGGGAAGCGCGGCGGCGCTCCCGCCCGAGGGTTCGGATCCCACATACAGACCGGTTCCCGCTCACTGGCTGAGCGAGGCGCGGGGGCAACACCGAGGGTTGCAATCCCGTTGCCGGTCCCCGGTCCAGTACGGGGGCAACACTGAGGGTCGCGATCCGTTGCCAGACACGGAAAAAGACAAAAGACAAAAAAAAAAAAATACAAAAAGAAAAAAACTGCCAGCCAAGAATACTATGCCCAGCAAGGTTATCCTTCAGAAATGAGGGAGAAATCGTGTATTTTCCAGACAAACAAAAACTGTGGGAGTTCACCACCACACGACCAGCCCTGCAAGAAATCCTCAAGGGAGTCCTGCATCGAGAATCCAAAAAACTATAATCACTCATCTTACTAGAAATAATTCTGTTCAAACTCTCTTTTTTTTCATAATTCAGTCTTGGTAAGTGGTGTGTTTGTAGAGATTTATTTATTTCATCTCTATTATCCAATTTGTTGACCAGTAATTATTCATGGTATTCTCTTATAACCCTTTTGATTTCTGTAAATTTGGTTGTAATGACCCCTCTTTTATTTCTGACTTCAGCTATTTGAGCCTTCTCTCTTTTTCTTAGTCCATCTAGGTAAAGGTTTGTTGATTTTGTGGATCTCAAAAAAAAAAAAAAAGAACAGAACTGTGGTTACTAGGGTGGGAAAGTTCCTGCATCGAGAATCCAAAAAACTATAATCACTCATCTTACTAGAAATAATTCTGTTCAAACTCTTTTTTTTCATAATTCAGTCTTGGTAAGTGGTGTGTTTGTAGAAATTTATTTATTTCATCTCTATTATCCAATTTGTTGACCAGTAATTATTCATGGTATTCTCTTATAACCCTTTTGATTTCTGTAAATTTGATTGTAATGACCCCTCTTTTATTTCTGACTTCAGCTGTTTGAGCCTTCTCTCTTTTTCTTAGTCCATCTAGGTAAAGGTTTGTTGATTTTGTGGATCTNAGAATCCAAAAAACTATAATCACTCATCTTACTAGAAATAATTCTGTTCAAACTCTTTTTTTTCATAATTCAGTCTTGGTAAGTGGTGTGTTTGTAGAAATTTATTTATTTCATCTCTATTATCCAATTTGTTGACCAGTAATTATTCATGGTATTCTCTTATAACCCTTTTGATTTCTGTAAATTTGGTTGTAATGACCCCTCTTTTATTTCTGACTTCAGCTATTTGAGCCTTCTCTCTTTTTCTTAGTCCATCTAGGTAAAGGTTTGTTGATTTTGTGGATCTCAAAAAAAAAAAAAAAGAACAGAACTGTGGTTACTAGGGTGGGAAAGAGGGAGGGGAAGGGGGGATTGTTTAATAGATACAGAATACAAAAATGATGAGGTTTTGTAATGATGGACATGTTAATTATCCTGATTTGATCATCCCACATTAGACACAGGTATTGATATTTGACTGTGTACTCCACAAATATGTATAATCAATTATGCTTTAAAAAATAATTAATTATTTTTTTTTTTAAATTTAAGATTGGGATTTGAAGTTACTGAGGTCTCCGGGGGAGAGAGATGCTGCAAAGGGGATAAGAAGATACAAGATTAATTTGCCTTTATTTTATTACCAAATCCACTTTTTAAATTCTTTTTTCAATGTAAATAAAAAAAGAATCATTGCTCATTTCTAAGATATTACTCATGGCGATGTGAGTGCAAGTTCTGGAGCCTGGTGAACTGATTCCTGATTTTACATATTACTAGCTGTGTAGCCTAGAAAAATTTCCTTAGGTTTATACTGCCTCAGTTTCTAATTCATAAAATAAGAATAATTGTACCTACTTCATAGGGATATTGTAAAGAATAAATTAAATAATGCATATAAAGTAGTACTTGGCACATAGAAAACAATGAATATTGAATACTACCATTATATGGTAAAATAGAGTTCATATGGGAAAATGCCTGTTAATAAAAGATATATAAAACTATACAATTTTTATTTTTTAAATGCAAATAATAAAGCTGGAAGAAAATTAATCACATTAAGTTGTTTCTTAGTGGTATAATTCAACTTTCTGAGTAATTTTTATGTAATGTCAGATTTTCTATGCTGAATGTGCGTTACTCTTACAATCCAGAAAACACTTATTTATTTATTTATTTTTGCAAGATGGAAGTCAGAAAGCACTTTTATTTAGACAATGAAGATAAACTTTAGAGAGTCAATGTAGTTGAGCATCCCCTA